TAGCATACTCGAGTTGTTGAACGGCAATGTCCCGCGTCACTATGTTCTCAGGCTGGGTCCGACGAAGTTCCAGCAGTTCCTTGTGTCTGCTGGCTGCGCTTTTAAAGAGGTCCTCAGTAAGTTCTGCACAGCCGAACTTTTGCCTGATAGATTCGTTGGTCACATGTGTCAAGTGCGCAGGCTTGCCAGCCAGGGCTCGTAGCTGCCTAGCCGCCATGGCCAGAAGCTGAGTTCGTCCTGTCACTGTGAGGCCCGTAGCTAGAAGTCCATAGCAGGCGCTCGCCGGGACTCCTGCCTTCCAAATGCGATAGCGGTGCTTGCTCGATATAAGTCTGCGCGCGTGCAATGTTTTGCGCAAGAGTGCATACTGACCTCTGGCCTTGCCCAGCCTGTGCTGCAGGGTCAGTGTTTGGGGGTCGCGGTAAGCCAGCACTGTGCCTAGGTACTCATGGTGTTTCTTNNCTGACCACAAGATGTGCCTGTTCATTTCGGTGCACAATACGATGTTTCAGGATCTTGGACTTCTCCTTCCCATGCAAATTTAGAAGGACTGCACATTTGTCCGGCTGGATTTCCATGCCATGGTCTCGGAGCACACTGATGATTGTGTGGATGTCACTGAGTGCCTGACGTAAGTCATCGACTCCCCGAACCAACCATGCAGCAAAGGCATCGTCGGCGTACCAAGTGAGACCATCGTCCTGCCAGCCAGGTGCCATCTGCGCACTTAGCTTATCCATCACCATGATGGTGTAAGCTACAAAGAGATACGGTGCAATGCAGCATCCTTGTTTGATCCCTTGTGTTGGTGTGACGGGCCGGGTGTCGGCTCCGACGTTGTTCCAGTACTGGGCCTCATGTTGCATATGCATGATCAAGTGCACCAGCTCCGGATCAGCTTGGAGCCTGAACAGACTCTCTGCCAGTCTGCACCTCGGAACCGCATCAAAAGCACCTTTAAGGTCGAGGCTGAAGCAGAGACCCCCGAAACAATGGTTCGGCTCCTGACCGGAGTGTCGGGCGTATATCGAAGATTTGCAGTCTTCAACGACTTGCCGCGTTTG